ATGGCCTTAGCTTTACTGCAATAGAGATGTCAAATACTGTGGGGAGCAATATGTGTATTTTTATGATTGCCGCAGAGAGTATTGTATTGTAGTATTAATATGCAATACAAATATAAGCAACAGATACTAAAAAGAAATGCTATGTTCTTTTATGACAAAACAATGCATGTCTGTAACACTAACCCATTACACGATCTGTAGCTTTACAATGTCAGTGACGCTGAGTGCTGGCTATGGAAAATAAAATGGCAGATTGTCAATACACACAGGATTTCTAACAACTGTTTTGACAGCCATAATTGATTGGTTGACAACATTCAAACCCCTCTGGACTGATTTTTAAAAATATATAATTTACAGCGTTTGATAACTAATGCCAAAAACACTGATAAAAAATGAAACATACGCTAGATCATTTTTAATATTATATGCTAATTTAGAGAAAATTGACTCTTGTGAGCTTTATGCCATGTTAGAATGTTGTTACCTTCTCAAAAACAGACCTGGAGTTGTGTTTTGTTTCATTCACACATGTTTGAGTAATCCTTTATTAATAGTCTCTCTACATCTCCAAAGCTCAAAATGCTCCGTTCCACCTTGTGATGTCATGCAGTGGTAGTTTTGTCAGGCAGAAGTTTACCTTTAGTTCAGTAGAGACTGACACTTCCAACTGAAATTATCCAAATGTTACTAGTGAAGGTGTATGGAGTTTAAAAACACAATAGAACAGATTTTGTATTACCACATGACATCACTAGGTGGAACAGAGTGTTTTCAGTTTGAGAGAGAAACACAGTCTAAATATGCAGGAGTTTGTGTTTTAAACATGTGTGAATGAAACAAAACACAACTCCAGGTCTGTTTTTGGATGAGGAAACATGATCATCCGAAAAACAGTGTAATGTGGGTATAACTTTAACTGTCGTTTACATTTTTTCTATGGAATTGTACATCTATACGTCAGTCAAAGTAAGGAACAAAATCAACACTTATTACATTAGCGTCATCATGCTAATTTGGTTATTTAGCTAAAACTGATCGAGTAGACTATAGATTAATTGCAATAACCTTGATTACAGTGTAGAGCCCTTGGTTGGCTGATTTCCACGGCATGTTCCATTGTAATTCAGCTGAGCAGCAGTACTGTGATATTGAAACAGAGTGGCAGCAGGTCAAACGGCCAAACCGGAGACTGTCATTTTGCCTACCCACCACCGGGGATCTTGTTCAATCAATTTTCTTCAGACTAAAGCTGATTTGACAAGACACTCAATGCACTAAAAAGACTTCACCCACCGCGAACCTCTTGCCGTCTAAATTTTCCGATGTTGATTTTCATAACAATCAGGTTGTCCGTTACTATAGCAGCATAGGCAACGGCATCATAGGGGAAGACAATAGTGTGTGGGCTCATAGGGGAAAAACAGCTTGCACTGAGCATGGTGAAATGGCCCAGTTTTAGAGGTATATTTTTGCTCATGTTCTACATTATCAAGATAAAAGCACAGTGCAGTTGTCAAGGAGATCCCATGTACATTCACAAACAAAACACTTTTAATGAATTATATTTTAAGCTACAATCCTGCCTACATGCACTCTGATGATTTTTCTCTCATTACATTTGGTATTGCAGAAGAGGTCATTATTTTAATTCTCAAACAGGCCCGGGGGCTTGTAAGTCGACGTATGCTTAGGCTGTAGGGATGGGCAAAGTCTTTAAAAGTTTGCAGAGAGTGAAGGACAGTTTTAGAGGTAGCACAAGTTCAAGGTTTAGCCTCTCTCTACTGGATGATTGAATTTCTTGGCAGGGGATTCATTAAAATGATAATTCCTATTTATGAAGCTCTTTAAAAAATTTAAATACTCTGCGTGTACCGCTTCCTATTAATTAACTTTTTTCTTTTCTCATTTCAGTTTTTCTTTCCTCTCTTCTTCTTCGCTTTGCTTCTGACTGAAGTTGACAGAGTAATAGGTTATGAATATTTCTGTTTCAGTTTAGACGACAATTAGCCACAATGCCTCCGGCCATTCTTATTCTCTAGTGGAGTGATGATTTTAGGCACATCTTATAACCAAACCATTTACTTCACACGTTTAGCTGCATTACAGTGTTACTTTATATGGGCAGAATCAAAAAGAAGTTCAACTCTTTATACAAGAAATTCTCTAAAATCCCAAATAAACTGATGATGTTGGGATTCAGATGACATCATAACATTCTAGTTGTGTGCAAAAATATTGAAATATCCATATATCCTGATACTAAATTTGGTGTTACAATAGTATTATTGTGAGCTGTTGTACTGATATTGTCAAGAGTGTTTTTATGGATCATTTAGAATTTTTTTCTGACCACACGACAACAGTATTTCATGTTAACTTTGCACAAATTGTAGTTTAACAAAGAAATATGGTTGCTAAAATGTATGTGGTTCTTAAGAAACAGCAGTATATCACAGAGTACATGTAATATATCAATTATCACATGTATCACTAGATTGTGATAATATCGTATTGTGAGATATTAATCAAATTGTGAGGGACACAATGATTCCCAACATCAACAACATTCTATTACCCATTAATAAATACTACATGGGTTGTGTATCTAAAATTAATGTTGTGTTGAAATAAACTTTCAGAGTCTTGTCACTATTAAAAATGATCAGGATCAATTTACCTTTTGGATAATTCAAGGCAAAGTACAGTGTAATCAATAGTGAAAACTGGCTCTTGTCCTTCTTTTGAGAAAAGAAGGAATCTGCAAAACAACAATGGCATTGAGTTTTGCACCCATAAAGCAGAAGCTGAGTGTTGGGAATTTTATTTTATTTTTTACCTGAAACTAAACTCTTGTGAAGATGTAAAATAAAAAAAGATTGAGAAAACGATTCTCAATGGCCACTTAATGAAGCACGCACCACCTGTTCAGCTCCTGGAAATGCAAATCGCTGTACAATAAGATAAACCTGCTCTAGTTTAAAATGAGCCCCTGAATGGACAACAAAAGTGCTTTTAGGGACTTGGTATGGGCTAGTCTGAGTATTTCTTACAAAATTACCAGAAAAAAAACAACAACAAAAAAACACAAGCAGTACTTTCTGTGAATAATGCCTTGCAGGTGACAGAAGTGGCAAAGGTCTAAAGCTGAAAGATTACTTTAGATAGCAAATTTTGAGTCCCAAGGATATGCACCAAAAAAAGATTAAAACTCACTTTTATAAGCATGCATTGTACACTGAGCAGTAGTAGTCTAATGTTGTTATGCAGGCTTTGTCTCTCTCTGTTGTCCCTCAGAACATTTTCGCTTTTGCTAATTAGCCGTTTGACCACAAGGGTAACAGCACGCCTTAGCTGCTGGAACTGATACATCAGACACAAGTGAAGCGCCTGTCATCAGGGAGACATCAATGCAATGGCAACAGCTCACACAAATAATAGAAAGCCTGTCTGCGCATTTAGCATTAGCACAGAAGAGATTGCATGATGATGGCTTTAAAAATAGAGACTCTTGAGGACTACAGATTCAACGCAATATCATTTGAAAACACATATCACTTATGTTGTTTGCATATTGCAGCATCTTGGCTTTGCAGGTCTCAGCCTTTTAGCCCAGAGCACCTGTTCAGTTCTCTTTACAGAAAAATGAAGAAACTGTATTATAAGGATGATAATACATTGCCTTTTAGGACATCTGGCATATCCAGAAGTTGTTAATAACACAATTGTTGTTCAGGAAATATGAATTAGAATAATAATTCAAAAATTCAACAATAATTATATTTAAATTAGAATATTGTGTGTATTGTCTATAATTAAAGCTACTAAAAATGACAGTTTTTAGTGGTTAATTTTATGGTCCATTCAAGCAAGACATTTACAGACACATTTTCGTACATTTCTAATGCATTGTTAAAATTCAGTCTGAATACTGTTATCAAAAGCAAGATGCAATGAATAAATAAAAGAAATCAAGATATACATTTTTGTCATTAGTGCCCATCCCTAGTAGCCTGATTCATCAGCTGGTTTCACTTCGTGGAAACCGTCTGACCTCACAGCATTAGGATTCGTTGGCTTGACGGTAGGAGGGTACTTTTTTTATTTAAACAATCACTGCTATTTGGTCGTGACATATGTAATGTGCCAAATCCCGTAGGTAGAAGGGCAATAACGTCTTTCCCCTTGATAAAATTCACCAAACATTCTCTTTGTTCTGGCTTTAAATTCTCAATCTCTGAAATCATTGCCAACACACAATGTCTGGCTTTGTCTACATCCATCTCGACCAGTTTGTTTACAGTTGTGCTGTTCCACAAAAGAGACACAGACAGGCCCTTTGAGTTTGACTTCATGGCTTCACGGCTCTTTGCTGATTGGCCAGTGCACTGTCTACAACTTCTAGGGTTCTTGCAAACTAGTCTAGTTTTTCCAATTCCTGACCTATTCGCTAGAATGAAATTGAGTGGAGGCACTAGGTGGCACCAGCCTGGCCTCATCCCTAGTACCAAATATGGAAAGAATTGGAAGGATAGCATGACAGTATGTTGGTGTAGGTGCCCAGTATAGTCATGAAAATGATGTGGATCCTGCGAAACACAAAGCAAGACTGTTTACCAGCATTGCGGGGCGTACTTTTACAACTGCATTATTGTGACAGATTCAAGGGACACTCGGCCTGCCTCATCACTCCTTATTAGGTTGAGTAAGAAGCAACATATGTTTGTGCAATGCAGCGCACACTTGGCCCTTGTTGTGAGCTAAAAATAACTGCACACTATCACGAGCAGAGAATCTTCCCTGCAGCATCACATCAAACTGGAGGACTTGGGAGAGTGATCAGGAGGGTGAGGTGTCCCGCCCAAGGCCCTCAGCCAATGTCTCTGTCTGCCTTTGAACTCCAGCACCAGGTGAGTTTGTGTAAAGTATATAGGCTAACTGCATACAGCCTCAGCTACAGTAAAAGTGTCTCATCAGCAGTGATATGTGGTGGTACTCACACATTACGGTGAGGAAAACATTGCCTGATGCCAAGACGACTTTTTCTCTCGTTGCCCGGTCGTAAATGCCCACGTGACATTCATATGGCCCGTTATCCGAGATCCGAACCTCAGGCAGTCTGCAAAGATACAAAATATGAATGTTAGCCAAGTCAGTAATCTGTGTCTCTATTCTTTATTTCATACAAGGAAAAGTACAGTAGTCTCTGATCAAAAGTATAAGTAAAATAATTCAGTAAGTAATGAGTAAGCATTTATGAGACCATTGACCAAGACCATTTGTATTTACGTATTTAGGTGAATAATTTCAGCCCTGGCATTACCCATTTCTACTAAATAAAAAGTAAAAATGTGGAAGTTAACATGAAAACTACCATTTATTACATCACAAGGTAGAACGGAGCATTTTGAGATATGGAGATGTAGACAGACTAATAATGCAGAATTACTCAAACTTGTGTGAATGAAACACAACTCCAGGTATATTTTTGAGGAGGTAACATCATTATAACATGACTAAAAGCTCACAGGAATCTATTTTGTGCAACACGGAGCTTTTATGCATTTTGTAAGATGATAATAATATCAAATATTAGGTATGATTTACATCTTTGTACCTGGTTTTTGTCCATGTAATGTAGGGGTGTGCAAAAAAATTGGAATATCAATATATATCGTATCGTTTAATGTGGTGATACAGTATCGATATCGAGGGTTATTGTGTTAATATATCAGCAAGAGTATTTTTACGTGCGTTTTACTAAATTATTTTGTTACTGTGCTACAGTTTTGTGGCTTGTGGAGTGAAAGGAAACTCATTTATGCGACACATTTGACATTTTCACTGTTTTGAGGATTAAAATGTTTGTGTTTCATATGAACTTTGCACAAGAAGTAATTTAACAAAGACTTTTAATATCACAGCCATGATTTAGACTTTATTTTTTATTGAACTCTATCGAATCGATTTGAAATATATCATATCGAATCGAAAGTGCACTGTATCGAGATATGTATCGTATCGTGGCCTGTGTATCGAGGTATGTATCTTATCGGCAACATCTTAATGATACCCAGCCCTAATGTAATGTCTGTGTATTGTAAAAGCAGAGTCAAAATGAGACCACTGTGTTGTATGTATTTTATTACAAAACATTTTTATCCTCTACAAACCAGGAAGTCAGCTGTTAGCATGTTAGTTGTTGTTAGTCATTTGGATGCTAGGAATGCATTTGAAAGTTGGGAATAACTTTGGACCAGAGTGAACCCTGAAAATAAGGTAAAGCAAACACATAAAACAAAACAAAAAAAGATCACACTTGTAAGCTTTAAGCCATGTTGGAATGATGTTATCTCATCAAAAACATACCTAGAGTTGTGTTTTGTTTCATCCACACATGTTTAGGCAATCCTGTATAATGAGTCTGTCTACATCTCCAAAGCTCAACATGCTCTATTCCAACTTGTGATGTCATGCAGTGGTAGTTTTCAAGTGAGCAGCTACCTTTTACATTTAGTTCAGTAGAGATTGAAACTATCCAAATGATTCTAGTGAAAGTGTATGCAGTTTACAGACATAGTGGAGCACTTCCTGTTAGGGATGGGCATGATTAGTCCATTAATCGATAATTGATCATTAAGAATTCCATCGATTACATTCATTTTAATTGACAAACCGAATGTAGGTTGTTGTGCGTAGTGTGACCAAACAGGGGTCTGTACATGTGTCTCTCTAAACTCAGAAGGAGCGAGACACAAACAGTCGGTCAGTCTGCAACGTACCGAAGCACAAATGCGCCTTTAACGATGACTTGTACAAGAAATTCCACGCTTTCCGTTGAGGTCGGGACAAGTTGGAGGCCAATGCGCACAGTGTACAAAGCAGCACATATGTTTCGGTGTCCAGTGGGAAAAAGTTTTGCCAGGTGAGAGTAACGAAATGTTGATGACGAGTCCCCACCTCCTACTACCCGTACGGTGTCCTGGTTTTGACAAACGCACAGTGTTGGGGAGTAACGGATTACATGTACCGCCGTTACGTAATCAGAGTACAAATTATGAGTAACTGTATTCCGTTACAGTTACTGTTTCAATGAGTGATAATTGGATTACAGTTACTTTGCTGAAATAAGTGGATTACAAGGCGGTATTTTCCTGTTTTCACATTTTGTGCTACCTCGCATTTATTTATTTTTTTATTTCGGTAATTTCACTCATTGCCTGAAGCCCAAACAGAACGCGCGCAATAAGAGCGATGTAAACGTCATGTTAAAGTTGACGGTGTCAGTCACACAGTGGAAGCAGCAATGCATTGGTAAAAACGCATTTGTGTCTTGGAAATTCTTCTCCCGATGTGAGATATATATATAAAAAAAACAAATATAAAATCGCCTACAACTTAAATGTGAAACAGGAGCTACTGGCACTGGTGAAAACAACCTGCATAGACTCATAATATCTGCACTACTGTCCTATAGTGGCCTGCCACATGAGGGGACGTGCACACAAACACACACACACACACACACAAACACCTTCATCATCATCATCAACCTGAGAACCCACGGACCACGTCTCCTTCCGTAGTTACAGCGCGGACACCGCCGTCTCGTGCGCCACGTGTGGAACGTGTTTTCTCGCGTAAACCTCCTCCTGTGCGCCTCTAAACCAGAACTAACACCAGGACTAAAACCAGGACTAACCCAGGACTAAACCAGGACTAAAGCAGGACTGAACCAGGTTTAAACTAGGACTAAACCACGACTAAACCAGAACTAAAGACCTGGTCTAGACCTGGTCTAAACCAGGTCTAAAATCAGGAGTAAACCAGGTCTAAAAATCAGGACTAAACCAGGACTAAACCAGGTCTAAACAACATGACACCTAACAGTAGGTTGACATAATTTAAGGTGATCTCATATAAAAAATAATTTCTCTATCAATAATATTTTTTAATATGGTGAAGGAAAGACTGATCTTGTTTCTGTCTTTTAACAGACAAAACCTCTTATATTAAGATGTCGTGGTCTTTGTTTCTCTACAGCAAACAGTTGTTTATTCATGGAGACTTGGGCTCAGACAATTTGAAGACAACAAACAAGAATTTTCAGGATGTGGTTGCTACATTCATGTCGTTTAAAAAAACATGACAATATCAAGTAATCCAAAGTAATCAGATTACGTTACTCACTTTAAGTAATTTAATGGATTACGTTACAAACTACATTTTGGGGTGTGTAATCTGTAATCTGTAGGGGATTACATTTTAAAAGTAACTTCCCAACACTGCAAACACAAATATGGTCACACTAACCTGTATTCCACTGATTTGTGCCACATCAGCGACACAATTTTTTTTTTTCTTTGCTTAGTTTATGCAAATTAGCCATGCGGTTTTAAGTTTCGTTTCTGTGAGAGTTGCGCAAATCTGCATTAAACACATTATAATGTCAAACGGGCTGATGTGGCTCTAGAGTGGTTACGGTTTTATATGTCGTAAAGTTGAATTTATTTATGCAGATTAGTAGTGCAGATAGTAATAATAATGATGATATTTTTTTATATTAAAACGTTAATAATTAATCGCTAATTCATCGTTATTTCTCCCGACGATCGATTAAGAAAATTTTATTGAATGTCCATCCCTACTTCCTGTATTACCACACAACATCACAAGGTGGTGTCTAAATATGCAGGGTGTGTGTGTTAAACATGTATGAAGAAAACAAAACATAAAGCAATAGTGGCCCTTTAAGTTCGGGTGTAGGACCTTGCCACCACCTGCTCCCTTCCTCTCAGTCTTCCTCCCTTCTTTTAATCTTTCTATATGTCCTGTGATATGAAACAGATACAAAACCTTTGCATATCACTTCGTCTACCATGATTATCCACTTCATGCATATTCGATTCATTTTCACACTGTATTTTAAGGTTAGGGTCCTTGCTCGTGAATAATGTTTTTAATGTCATACAAAACTCTGATACCCTTGGAAATGTCTTTGAGAGAATTGAATTGAAAACATGGCTTTTTTTGGAGCCATAACTGCTGTCCTCAGAATGACTTCCTGGCACAGAGACAATAGGCGACATTTGGGTGCGTCAGAGAAAAGCAGGTGACCATTTGCTGAAAGCACAATCTGTATTCAGCACTCGGCCAGTGTGTCAACAGTGATAATCAGACGGAGACGCCACCAGTCAGATTTAGCCTCTGTGATTTATTCCACAAAAACAGCAACTCTTGTCCTTGCCACCTGCGTGAGAAGGATCCTGTTGGAGGATGCATGGTGACAGACCTCAGTTTAATCAGATCAGAAGAGTGGAATATAAATGTAACCCACCACATTTTTTTTCTTACTACTAAGAAAAGTGCAGGATTTTCCTTATCAAAGTTAACATTTAAATTAGACTGATGTTAAAAATTGTCAAAAAGGAGGTAGGAATGGAACTGACTGACTGAAAAGAAAAATGATACTCAGGAAGAAATATAAAAGAATATGATCATTATGTTATTTTCCCCATGGTATTTCTTGGGCTCGGTGATGGCCTCATGTTCACAGGTCTATACTTAACACGAGAGCCATCTATCAACATGTCTGGGCACATTGGCTTTTCTAGTAGAGTAGTTATTGTTAAGGGTGATCATTTTGTCCAAACACATTTCAGCTGAGCAGCAATGGCAACAGTTTTTTTGTTTGTTTTTCTTCTTCATGTTATTGACATAAAGGGGCTCTTGAGTAGGGTTAGCTTGGGCCAAGAATATGACAGTGGTTCCTGCTGCACACTGGAGCAGGGCAAATTTTCACTGCAACTTTTAATATTATTATTACTACCCCTTGCTCTCTGTTATTCCAAAACACATTCCAAATTTGTGATTTATTTTCACTAATAATGGCAGTGGAGGAACCTTAGTGTGGCCAAGCATATTCGATCAGAACTAGACTTGCTCCTCCTAATATTCAAAATTTGAAGAATGAATCATTTTTCTTGGGGACTCTCTGCTCATTAAGCATCTTCAGCACATCCTTTTCGGGATCCATGTCACATATCAAAACTGTACTGTGCAAGATACAAGAGAGAAAATCCCTGAACCAACAATTCATAACAAATGTTTGAAAAAGCG